ATGGGGAAACTGAAGTCCAAGATCACACAGGTAGTAAGTGGAAGATCCCGGATTTGTACCCAAATCCTGTGACTCTCAATCAAGCCATCTTTTCACTTGATGGCACTGTTTTCTTTGTCTGTCTTTTTGATATTGACTCACTAAAAAAGATGGAAAGGCAGTGAGGTATAGCACATAAAGAACCTGCCTGAGGAGTCAGGAAGCCCTGCATTCAGGTCCTGCCTCTGAAACATACAGCCTATGGAAACCTGGGCAAGCTGTCTAACCCAGCAGTCTCCAGGCAATTCTAAGGCAACAAATTCCAGAAGAGCCTCAGAGTCACAATGCGAAAGGAGATCTTCGTTGGGAGCCCCCATACCAATGAAAGCATAGATCCAGTACATATATATATATATATATATATATATGTGCGTGTGTGTGTGTGTGTGTGTATATATATGTGTATATATATATATATATATGTATGTATGTATGTATGTAGGTGTGCTTGAATATACTTATACAGGCAGCTAGGTAGCACAGTGGATAGAGTTTCAGGCCTGAAGTCAGAAAGACTCATCTTTCTGAGTTCAAATCTGGCCTCAGACTCTTCCTAGCTGTGTGACCCTGAGCAAGTCACTTAACCCTGTTTGCCTCAGTTTTGTCATCTGTAAAATGAGCTGGAGAAGGAAATGGCAAACCACTCCAGTGTCTGTCAAGAAAACCCTGAATGAGGTCATGAAGAGTCAGGCACAACTAAAACAAATAAACAACAACAAGAACACAACACAACACACACACACACACACACATGTATATGTGATACATACATTTATATATGGGTTTATGAGAATACATATAAACAAATGTATATACACATATGTGTGTGTATATTTTATATAGGTACATATATACATATATACATATATATATACATATATACATGTATATATATACATGTGTATATATATACATGTGTATATATATATACATATATATATACATATTATATATATATGCACATGTCTATGTATCCTTAATCTATTCCGCAAAACAGAATCCAGAACTGCTCATTAAGATGGTAACATGAGAGATCATAGAACTCAGCTCTCCCACATATACTGCAGCAAAAATTTTTTAAAGTAGTCCACATTCAATAACAATAGAGAAATTTAAAAAGAAACAAAAATATGCTCCTTCATTCAACCCAGGATCCTTTTTTCTTTTTAGCCATGGCAGAAGAAATCTAGAAGCCTATAGAAATTGAGAAGTCACTATAAGATCAGGTAAACAAGCCTGAAATGGACCAATATTCTGACCAGGGACATGCAGGAGTTCATTAGACCATGGGCTTATTCTATCTTAATGGACTTAAGGGAGGGAAAAAAGATAGGGAACAAGGAATACAGTGTGGAAAAATGGAGAACAAAGAGAGAAAATGACTACTCACAATTGGAGGGTGAGAGAAGAAGAGCATACAACATGGAGGATAGGAGGAAGTAATGAATATCTTCTTGACTTTACTCTTATTTGGGTAAAAGGAAGGTAGAACACATTCTACCCACCACTACCACCATGTTCATGCATGTGTATGTAAAAGAATTTAGTGTGATAATACATTTAAGTGAATAACAAAATAAAAGACAGGAAGAGAGGGGGGTTTAGGAGGAAGGAAAGAGTCAGGTAAGGAGTAGATAACACACAAAACAAACTTCAACTTTGGAGAGTAGATCATAAGGAAAGAGAAAGAAAAATGGAAGGAAGGGAGGGAGAACTAGTGATTGAGGTCTGGGCTATGTGAAGAGAGGATATATAAAGAGTGGGAACAAACAACTTCAAATATACATACACATACACACACACACACACATACACACATATACATATGTGTTCCTCCCTTTTTTTGCCACCTTTTTTTTATAAAGATGGTAAAAGGACAAAAATAGGAAAAAGTTTAAGAGGATATGGTGAAGGAACATATACAATTACTAATCATTATCATGAATATGAATGGGATTAATTCACTCATAAAAGCAAAGCCAGATTAAATAAAATAATATAAAATATGTAATTTACAAGAAAAGCCCTTGAACATAGAGACAAATTGCTGCAAAACTTATTACACTTCATGAAACAACAAAGAACAGGACTGGCAATCACTATCTTAGACAAGGCAATAGGGTAAATAAATGAGGTTTAAATAGTTGAACAGGGAAACTATGTTATGCTTAAAGAAACCACACATAATATAAATACTTAACCTTTTATGAACAAAATAGCATTGTACTGTCATAGTCAATAACAGGTAGTATGCGTTAAGTCCTTCCTATGTGTCAGGCACAGTTCTAAGCATTGCACATGCAAAGAAAGACAAAAATCATGGTCCACACCCTAAAAGAATTCATATTCTAATGGGAGGAATAAAAAACAAACAACTATGTCAGACAAAGTGTATACAGTATAAGTGCAAGAATTTAAATATGTTAAGGAAAAGTTGATCAAATTACAAGAAGAAATAGACAGTAAAATTATAGTAGTCAAAGACCTCAGTGTAAGCCTTTCAGACCCAGACAAGCTATTTAAAAAAAAAAAAAGACAAACAAGAAAGAGATTAAGGACCTAAGTGAAATTATATAACAGTTAGATATACTACATCTCTGACAACTAGTGAATGGGAATACAAAGGAATATACAGGTATCTTTGGTATATGCAGCACTTTAATGAAAATCAACCACTAGTCTAGGGCAAAAAAAGTATACATAAAAACAGAAAAGCAAAAATGTTAAACATGTCCTTTATTTGCCAATATGTGATAAAAAATTATACTCAATAAAAGATAATGGAAAAGGATTCAAACTTGATAGGAGACTAAATAAAAATTCGCTGGTCAAAGAACAAATCATGGAGATAATAGATAATTTAATCAAAGAAAATTATAAAAATTTAACATGCCACAATTTTGGGGATGCATCCAAAACAGTATTTAAGAAATAATTTATATCTAAACATTTTCAAAAGAGAGAAAGAACAGGTCAATTAATTGAACATGCAATAAAAATTATGAAAGCAAACAAAAAAAAACAAGGAAATAGAAGAAAATTCTAAAATGAATTGAAATTATTAACAACTTCTATAAAGTAGAATCACATAAAATAAATCCACAAAAATCATCAGACTTTTTATATATTACCAACAATACCCAGCCTAAAGAAATATGAAAAAGAGATACCATTCAAAAAAACTACAGAATGTATAGAATGTTTGGGATTCATCTACCAAGATATATACACTATTTGTATTAAAACAACTATAAAACAAAAGAATGATAAACTTGGTTAATTGGACAGAGAGATTAATTGCTAATAGTTGCGTCCTGGAAACATAATAACAATGATAAAAATTCCTAATTAGTTTATACGTTCAATGCCAAACTAACCAATTTAATAAAGATTTATTTTAAAGAATTAGAAAATAATAATAATGAAATTCAGTGGAAATACAATGTAAATGGAAAGAACAGCCACCAAAAAAAAAATGAATGTTTACAAATTTCTGAAGAACAAACATAGACTTCTCTACCCCACACCTTCACAGAGGTATGATGTTTACAAGTGTGGAACATTGCACATATTTTCAGATACTTTTTATGTTTTGATCAGTTATGTTGATTTTCTCTCTTCATTTTCCTTTTTGTCTTTGATCTTGTCTTCCCTTTTTGACATGTTGATCAGTGGAACAGATTAAATATACAAGATGCAGAAGTAAAAAAACATAGTATCACAGCACTATACTTAATAAATCCATAATCTAATATACTGGAATAATCTATTCGAGAAAAATTGCAAGGAAAATTGAGAAGCTGTCGAATGTAATTTAGGTTCAGACCAACAAATCATTGTATACTACAAAATAAGCTCCAAATGGATTCATGACCTACAGTAATGATAAAGGGTCTGTACAGATAAATTAGATGAGCAGGGAAGGAGAAACTATGGGTAGCGGAAGAACTCTTCACAAAATAAGGGGCAAGTAGCATCAAAGGAAATAAAAATGGACAAATCTGAATATATAAAATTGCAAAGGCTTTATGCAGACAAATATCAATACAACTCACATTAGGAAAAATTAATTAGGAAAAATAGTTCTCAAAGGATGAAATTCAAACTATCAATGATCACACAAAAATGTTCCAAATCATCAATATGAGAAGTTAAAATAAAATAATTCTGAGTTCCCTTCCGCCTTATACCAACTAAATTTCCAAAGGAAAATGATTGTTGGAGGAGATGGGAGAATACAAGAACACTAATCTACCATTGATAGGGCCGGGGAATTGATATGATCATTCTGCAAAGTAATTTAGAACTGTAACCAAAATGTCAATGAACTATGGCCCAATAAGTGGGATAAAAATATCTCACTAAGTTTATATCCCCAAAGAGCTCAAAAAACAGGGAAAATAGCTAGAGGTATAAAAACTAATTATAGCAGCATTTTTCTAATGGCAAAATTCTGGAAACTGGGGAGGGGCAGGGCATACCCATCAATTAAGGACTCATGAAGCAAATTAGGGCCTATCAATATAATGGGAAGTATTGCACTACAAGAAATGTGGTGTGGGGGGGCAGCTAGGTGGTGCAGTGAATAGAGCACCAGCCCTGAAGTCAGGAGGACCTGAGTTCAAATCCTGCCTCAGACCAAACACTTGACACTTACTAGCTGTGTGACCCTGGGCAAGTCACTTAATCCCAATTGCCTTTAAAAAAAAAAAGAAAGAAATGGGGTGTGTGTGTATGTATGTATACACACATACGTGCATATAAATATCTTTAACAAATTGCACATGTAGCTGATTCATGGTTGTATATGAAATCCTCATTTTCCACACTTCTTTTTACATGGAGATGATTATGTTTGTGAACTTCATAATGAAAAAAGAAAATTAAAAAACAAACAAGGAAAATATAGACTCAACTTTTAAGTACCTCTTGCTATAATGCAAAAATGAGGAAAGTCTTACCTAGTTTTGGAAGAGAATAGGGCACTTTGAAGTAGTCTTCATAAAACTCTATCAATCTCTTTGTTATATGGAGAGCATAATCCCCAGATCCTCTTCTGACTGCATCAGGTCTTGCATATAATCGCACCTGATTAGAAACAAGTAGGAAAAAGAAAAAAAAGAAAGAAAGAAAAGGTTACATCAGCCTCCGGGTATCAGCCTTCTGCCTTTATTGCAAAGATGAGCCAACACAAATCATGTTTTTATGTTCTAAAAGCCAGAAGAGAATTCCTGTTCATATATCAAAGCAAGCTGTGGCTGAAGAGACAGAACTTAAACAATTAAGGTAACAAAGTTGAGAAAAGCATGATTCCCTATTTTTTTTTACTTGCTTGTCAAATGAAAGATTTATACACCTGGCATCAAAATCAATATTGAAAAGCAATCATTAACATGTGTTTGCTAGAGATATGATGGTACAGTGGATTAGGATAATGGGTCTCTTTGCCTACTCTGAATATAGGCAGGATACTGTGGCTCAGGAGGAAAGGGAGTTCATGGTTTGTTAAAGAAACATTTTATTGAGCTTCAGGAGCATTACTACATTGAATGAAAAATATACAATTCACGTTTCCCACTTTTCTTCAGCACCGACTATCATTATCCTCCATGGGTAAGCTAAGGTTGAGAGGCAACCATTTGTAAATTCTTTCATGGACATAAGCAATTAACATTCCTGAAGTCAATCCATAAAGGCTCCAGGCCTAGGAAACCAAGAGGGACAAATAAGGTGAAGTAATCCATATTTCTAACACAACTTGGCGATTTAATACTTATCTTATATCAAGTGCTATATATTACCTAGTACTCACTAGAAAAGGCCTAAGGAAAGTCACATAGAACTCTACAAAAACTGTTAACAATTGAGAGAAAGAAAAAAAAAAAGATTCAAATCAAATTATTTCTTTTATTAAAAACAAAAACCTTTAAACAGTATGGTTGGTTTTTGCAACACACTCTCTCTCTCTCACACACACACACACATATATACACACCCTCCTTGGGCTAAAGCGATTTTTCATTTACCTTCTCCCTAATCTTCATATCACCACCCAGGAAGGTTTAGTCAATAGGTCAAAAGTTTCAGAATAGGAAGACCTGATGACTTGGGCCAGGTACAAGTTAGCCCCAGATGCAAGTTTACAAGTTAGAGAAAATAAATCAAATTTTTTTCCCCTAAAAATGCTTTTACTAAATACAGAAAATTAGCAAATATATACAGGTGCAACTCTCTACATTCCCACCTGCAAGGATGAACTCAGGTCAAAAATGTATACACACTATGTGGCAATAAATTGTCAAATCTAAGGAACTACCAACTCTTCTTGATAATGGCTATATCAGATTCTCCAAAAGACATTTAGCCTATCCCCATTCTGGAATAACAACTAAAAATGGGCTTAAAATCATTAATGACTTGCTGCCTAATCAACAAGGCAGGAGCAAATAAATATCCCCTAAGATATTCTGCCCCTTGTTCTCTGATCTTCACAGTCACTCCAAGGACTGGGATCATATTTCATTTCTAATAGGAAATAACCCAGATTTCAGTTCCAAATATTGGGGAGGGAGAAGGAAACCAGGTGGAATAGTAGATAAGGCAAAATCCAGGAGCATATTGGAGCTATCTTATACTCAGCTCACAAGAGCCCATTTTAAAATTTTGTGTGTGAACATTTACAGCTAAGAAACTAGAAAAAGCTAAAAATCAGGGCTTGATTTATTACTGTCTTAATTGCTTAGACCAAAGAAAGTGGAAAAATATAAATAATACGTATTAAACTTAAAACAGTGACATGCATAAAATTTTTCCCCAGACAGCCAGTTGTTAAACATTTACTAGCACAATGCTGGCAAAAATCCCAACAAAGCAAAAAAAGGAGAAAAAAGCAATCAAAGCCTAAAAACATAAACAAGAACCAAAATTACAATAGCCATGGTTTTTCCAAATTATAAGTCAGAAACTTACAACAAAACTAAAGACCAAAAGAAAATTATACTAGTAAGTCGGTAGCCAGGAATAGAGGAAGAAGTCCAGTCAGTCAGGAGAACATGAGGCAGGTAGACTCATCAGCAACCTATTACGTCCAAGTACAAGCAGAATCAAAGGAGAGAAGAGGTCATCTTCAAGAGATATTGCAAAAGTAGAACTGATAAGTCTTGGTGTAGAAAAAGGGGGAGGCAGTGTTAAAAGTTAAGCTGTCTCCTAGGTTATGAGCCTGAGGGACTGGGAAGATGGTATTACCCTCTACAATAATAGGAACGTTAGGAGGTAGGAGAGTTTGAGGGAAAAGATAATGAGTTCAGTTTTGAACATGATGAGGTTAAGATGAACTGGACATCCAGTTCAAGATGTCTTAAAAGCAGTTGAAGGTGTGAGATTGGAGGTCAGCCGAGAGGTTGGGTCAGGATGGGTAGATCTGAAAATTGTAATTAAATCCATGGCAGTTGATGAGATTACCAACTGAAGTGGTATAAAATGAGAAGAAAAGAGGCCCCGGGACAGAACCCTGAGGGACACCTATGGTTAAAGAGTATAATCCAGGTGAGCATGCAGCAGAGGAAATCAAGAAGGAAAAGTCAGAGATGTAAGAGGAGAACAGGGATAGAGAGTATCAACAGTGTCAAAGCCTTCAAGGAGGTCGAACAGAATGAGAATTGAGAAAAGGCCACCGGATTTGGCAACTAAGAGAGCAGTGATAACACTAGAGAGAGCAGTTTTGGTGGAATGATAAGATCCAAAGTCAGACTGTAAGGGAGTGAGAGGAGAAAAAAATGGAGGCACTTATGGTAGACAGCCTGTTAAAATACTTTAGCCATGAAAGGCAGAAAATACATTAGGACAATAGTTAGCATGGATGGAAAGATAAAATGAGGGATTTTTTTCAGGATGAAAGAGACATGGACACATTTTAGGCAGTAGGAAATGAGCCAGTAGACAGTCAGAGATTGAAAGTAACTGATAGAGTGGGGATAACTGAGGGGGCAATATGTTGAAAGAGATGGGATGGAGTGGGATCATTTAAGGAGGTTAGCCTTGTTAAGGAACAAAGCTACCTCATCATGTGAGACAAAGGTGACAGAAGAGATAGTGGCGGAAAACATAATGTGAAATGAGGAAGAAGGGAGAAGAAAGAGTTTATGGTGAATGGCCTCAATTTTTCTCAGCTGAGTAGGGGTGGGTTGGGAGGGGAGGAGCCATAGGAGGCTTAAGGAAGGATGAAAAGGTTTGGAAGAGCGACTATATAAGAGTAGGATAGGAAGTTGATACTATGATTGTCTATCAGCAGTAATGACTCATTTGAGGTTGTATAAGATAAACATGTAATGGAGCTAACCAGAACAGTTGCATGAGATGCAAGGCCTGAGGTCAAAGGGATGGTTATTCCTCTTTGCACCAGAGATTCTCCACATCTCAGTTGGGAGATCTGCTGGCAACAGAAGATTAAAGTTTCTTTGTGCCAGCACAGATTAAAGTTGTCACTTTAGTGGAAGATGCTCAGCCCAGGCCCTTGCCACCTTCCCTCAGCAGGAGATGGAAGGTATAACATGAGAGGTCAGAGGAAAGTTTGGCTCCTCTTCTCACTGGAAGCTGGTCAGACATAGTAGACTTCCCACACAGAGGAAGTCACTTTGGGGCCAATGGAAGATGCTCACCTGGCCCCTCATCATTTTCCCTCAGAGGACACACTGCACAGCAAAGTGACCAGAATAGCCCATTGAAATGCACATCAGTAAAGTTCTGCCACTTATTCTACTAGACCCCTTGACAGTATCAGCAAGTGAATCTCCAGGCTACTAACCACTCATTGACATAAACAGCAGCAGTCCCTGGGAGTACTGCGCTAGTACTCAAGGATTTATCAGAGACAGTTAAACTCAGTCAAGAACTAGCATGAGATAACATGCCCACAACAGGGGAAGCCACCCACAAAACAAGCACCAGAGCATTTCCAAATATTTACAAGATGTCCAGGTGGCCAGAGCTGACAATGGCAGAGAAAGGGACTCACTGGGGATATCACACTCAGAGAGGTCAGTTACCATTGCAGGCAGCTGCCACCAATGGCCCCAAGCTTAGCATATTCCTGGCCCCTGCCTATTCTATTAAAGTTCATGTCTGCTATGACACAAGGAAGGAAGGACATATGAATATTCTGGGCAATCACTGAAGCAATGTGCTTCCCTAAACTGGGAGCTTTCCCAGGCAGAAGAAATCCCAGTTTCCCCCTTTCCTCTTCACTTCACTGGGCAGAACCAGTTATGGCTGCTGCTTCAGAATCCCTGCCTCAGTCCCACAGCACAAGCCCATGGATCAGCTTGTGCTCCCTACCTTAACATGGAGACAGGTGGAGGAAGAGTTCTGAGAAAGTAAATTTAATTATTTGAATTCTCAAGTGTTACTAATCTGTTGAGCTTCATGCTTTATTGTCTTGTGGATTCAACTGTAATTTTTCTACCTCTAGTGCATAACACTCTTTAGGGGTTGGGTTTTTTTTTCAGTTTTTGTTAGTAAATACTAGATAAAAATATTTATTTCGTTCACCGTTTTGTTGCACATTTGACCAATGATTGAAGTTCAATCACTGACCAAAAAGGGGAGGTGCTTAAAAAGAATCTAAGGATCATTGGCCTTCCAGGGGAAAAAAATGGCAAATCAAAACCTAACCATTGCAAGGGCAGAAGAAAAAAGGCTAAGCAGAACTGAGTATAGAAAAGAAAGGACCAATCAAAATAATGCATGGATCACATTTAGGAAGAAAAATAATACTATGCTTTAAATCCCAAGACACATAGTGGTAACTTTTATCAGTTCCGATGTCACAAGAAAGACACCCTTATATGGAAAGGAAATTTGAATACCATAAAATTGTTTCATACCCACTAGAAACTGGAAAGGAAATTGAATAATTTCTTCCCAACCAAAGAAGCTTAAGCTACAAGCAAAAAATGACATACCCTGAAAACCTAAGCCTAATCAATGAACAAATATGGATATTCAATAAGAGAGGCTTTTGGAACATTCTCATAAAAACAGACATGATCAGAATATTCAACTTGCAAATATTCCAAACAATAGAACTGCAA